GGTATGTGGTTCTCCTGACTCCCTTAGACCCAACTCTCATCATTGCTTCATAGATCTATTAACAAAGAAGAGGGCTTGTGCCCGTGACTATCTCTGTAGCATGTTTTGTGACAAGAACGTCATTCAAGTTCTTAAGCTTCAGGATGGTGAAGATGTTTCAGAGAAAAACTTTGATCGACGTACCTTTTTCCCTAGGACTAACTCGCTTTATATCAAACTGGAGGGTAAATCACCCGAATCGTGTTAGTCCAATGGGGACTGAGGATCGAACTTGCTGTTATCTTCTTCCTTCCTCGCATTTGGACTGGCCTTTCTTGTAATGTCTTGTACATCAGGATTTCAATTCGCGAATTGTAGTAGTATTATTCCCAATCTCAACTTTTCTTTCCCAATCAATTTATAGACCTAATCTAAGATTTTGGCGTTTGTGGCCACGCGATAAAGTTGTGGGGGCAGAGTTGAATAATTTGGCTCTTAGTGCATTTCTCCTACAGCCACATCTTCCGGTCCCCCCATATCAGCCAGATAGAAACGAAATCACGTTAAATGCAACATGGAATACAGTAAAAGTCATCTATCGGAGGATGAAGACATGTCCCTGTCTTCTGCTGCCCAATCGCCGGTGTCCAGTAACGACTCTCGCATCTCCGTCGACGATATTATCGATGATGTACTCATGGAGGACCAAGAAGAACTTTTACCCACGATATTCGATATGGTGTCGTCTGAGCTCACCGCACTGGGTGCAATTCCGCTTGAACGATTCGTGGTTGAGGATAATCCAGTAGAGCTGGGCTGCATTCCATTAGAACCAACACCAATTACGCTCCCCTCTAGCTCCAAATCCATCTCACAAGAGAGCAAAAATGATCATCATCAGGCGGTGGCAAAGCTGTATGAGGCATGTCTTCGTGCCTTTGACGGTACCGACGCGATTAGCTTTGATTACAAAGAGGATTTGGGTCCCAATTGTATGTGATCGTGTTCTATCGATGCTCACTGGATTTAGACTCCTTTAGCACGCGAGTGTATTCTAACGATTACACGACCGGATGGTCGAAAAAGATCTTACACCTCTGGACCTTACTTCTCCAAGAAAAATGAGGCCAAGTCTCATGTAGCTGCTCTCGCAATCGGCATGAACGTCATGAGCTTCATTCAATACGGCGATATCAATTCAAGAGGAAGGCCGAATCTAACGGACTCCTTGGATGCACAAACGCGACTAAAGACGCAAGATGGAAAAGGCATCTCGTATTTTGACAAAAGGGAAACCATTGTGAACGACCCCAATGTCAAGGCTATTTCCGATTGTTGTATCGAATGGCGAGCTGGCTTGGTGAAGCCTACTTATGTGCATTTTTCGGAGCCTTCGGTTACTGTACGAGGTAAGGCGTACTGTTACCAAACAGCCCCAACTTATAGACTATATAGTGAACGGGAAAAGGGCCAAAATCCCATCCGACGCTGAAATAATGGCATTGAAACAAGGATGTGCATTGAAGGTTGAAATCTCGCCGTTTACCTCTCGGGTGTATTCTGTTCATCACGTCTACTTGACTAGAGCAGAGGCGAAGGCAGCTGTCGCCGCCGTTGCGATTGAGCAGGGTATTCTCGAGTTCATCAAATACGCCAACGGACAAACATCCCCTACAGTCTTTATACGGGAGTTGGATGATGATGCGAGTGAACATCTCAATCAAGAGCTTATCAACGAAACTGTCGAAAGGGAGAAAGAGGTGGAAATAGAGGCCACAGCTGTTAATGTGACTCTCAAGAAGCATCAAATCCCCATCGATGTCATGACACTGCAAGCTTTCACCAATTCTCTGCCAAAACCGTTCCCAGAGACGCCTGGGCTCAAGCCTCTAGGGGATGGCAACCCGATTGGATGGCTCAACTCTGCAGTACAGAGCGCTCGGGGAAGTAAGATGAACATCACCTGGACGTACCTGTCAGATGCAAAGCGTTCCCGTGAGTACTGCCGTTTCTCATAAAAACAGTCCACTCAATGAATCTCTCAGTACACGGCTGCCTCATTCGCTTCACCCTTCCCCGAACTGCAGATGGCCGGTCCTATCTTGTAGAGCCTCAGTTCACAAAGAGATCGGACGCAAAGTCGGCAGTCGCCCTGCTTGCTATCTCTCAGAACGTCGGTGGTTGGATCGCCGGTATCTCGGAGACGATAGAAAACCTGCTCCCCCAAGACACAAAACAAAAGGCCTATTCCCTAGTACCGACCCTGAGTCATGAATGCAAACGGGCTGGTCTGAATCAACAGCCTGTCTATTCCTTCGTTCATGAGGAAGGGGGTAAGTGTTCCTCGTCTGATTTAAAATCACATCTGACTCGCCATTAGCCATCGGCTGTACATTACGGGTCGAATTTGATTCAAGCCTATGGAAAGAATACACAGTACCAGTTCAGTATCGTACGAGGCTGGAGGCTCGATTGGCTGTGGTTCTCCAAGCTTATGAAGAGGGCATATTGGAATTCATCCGATTCAAAGACAAAACACCTCCTCTAGGTTACATCCGAGACGGTTGGCGAACAAAGCAAGCTAGAGGAGTTCATGACATCAGAATCGAAGACCAAGATATAAAGAAGGTACAGATGGATACTAGGCGACACTCATATCCCCAAGTAAGAGGAGTAGAGCGTTATGACCGCAAGCAAGGCCCAAATACACTTCCTAGCTCTGTACCTCGAGGACCCAGGATGGCGGGTCTCATGCGAAATCGGATTGGTAGGTATAGGCAAGGAGATTCTATCGACATGCAAGAGAGATTTGCTGGTCAAAGCATAGATGAAAGACACCCAAAGCCTGCTCTTTTCACGACCTTGCCAGTTGAATCCATAGGATCTACTTCAGATCATCATCACACTCTAGGCGTGACTCAGAATCAGGATGCCGAGTCCCTGAACCCTGGCGTATCTCAGTATGCCATCGTCCGTGGACATCCCTCACATGTTTCTGAGAACGTACACCCTAGGGGAGGTGGCCCAGTGCCAATGATGTATGAACAAACAGTGCAATTCCCTCCTATTCACCCAGTTCCACCACCACTTCTCTATCCATCTGGTCCTTTCTCTCATAGTCCGATTCACATACCTTTTGCGTCTCAGCCCCACTTGCTTTACCCGTTTCCACCTTCTCTCTCAACACACCATCCTTCTCAACCTCCTGGCTATCCATTCTTGCCATCTGCTGTACCGCCCTCCGTGTATCCACCGGGAAACGCATTTGGCACCGGGGGACATCCGAATGCCCCTCCATTCTCGCTTGATACTGAACTGCAGTTCAATAGGGGTCCCCCCGAATCATATGACGGGCGACCTGGCGGACCGAACGGTCCTGGCGATCCTGAACAGTTCAGCAAATATGGAGGTCTCAGGGTGACGAGTAATCCGGGCCTAAAGACCGATTTTGGGGACTTTGGGACCCTT